TTATTTTTTGTAATTTATTATTAAAATATATAGATTTAAGTATTTAATCCTGCGGTAAATTTCATCTAATTGTTACTATGCTCCAATACTTAAATAAATTAGTTAGAGAATTCAATTTATGCTCCAAAACTCATGTGATTATTTTATTTATATCATATACCTAATTTATAATAGAGTAATACTACACCTACAACCCAATCTCACAATATTCTCTTATAACCCTAACGTACGTGATAGTTGAGTTGACAATTATCACATCAGCTCTCACCATACCTTAGACACTAAATGACTTTGATTAAACACAAACGATTGTTTATTAGAGACGAAAGATCGTTTCTTCCCAAGAAATGACTGTTTCTTATGAATGAAATAAACATTCCTTATGAATGAATAATCTTTCGTCCTTAAGGAATAGTCGTTGCTCTCTAAGGAATGACTGTTCATGATTAGTCAAAGTCGTCAGTTGACGTAATAGTATCAACTCTGCTTTTATGTTAGGATTATAAGATAAAGTTGTGAGATTGAATTGTAAACGTAATATTTTTGTTTATAATAATGTAATATCATTTGGGATGTATATAGTATGGCATCATATCAAAACTTAAGGATGACACAGTTGTATAAACCTTTACCTAATATTAGGTATTTTGATGGTTGTAATACATAACTATTTAATCGCATTAATATCATATTTATGATGCACTGTGTCATTCTAGATAAATAGTTAATGCGATTTAAGTATGAGTATGACACCGTGATAAACTCTTTTAACTATATTCTTACGACGCGCCGATCCATAAATTACGGAGAGTACACTTATTATGTAGAGAAATGTCACGTCAAAAGTCGTTGCATATAGGTACTGTAAATTGTACATCTCCTGTATTAATTTATAGACTTTCTCATCAGCTTAATTCTTCAGTCTCTCGTGTAAAACGATTCCATAATTTACCAAAAATAATTAAAATCTCTTCTCCTTTAGTTCATGAACCAGAGAGCGTTGGAATCCAAATTGGTAATTCCAGTCTCGTTTAATTTATTGTTTATACATTACACGAAATGAATGCTCAAAGTTGTAGTTAATATAAGAGTAAACAGACTTTTTCTCACCCAAGGTTTGTCTTAACACTTTTCCACCTAAAAAATTTTAAAATACCATTTTCTCACCCAAAATTCTTATTCTGTTAATACCTAACATACACTTCATTTTCTCAGCTGACATTTGACGAGTTATTAGGAGTCAGGGTAAGATGAGTTTTTTGGGTTTTATAGATTGAGGGCCAGTGGATTGAATATTGATAATCGATTGAATATTCGCTGTCGAAATCAGTCAAAAATCAGCTAAAAACAGGAAACCCTAACCTTGTAGTGGCTAGCAATCGAAGTAAGAGGGTTTTCGTAGAGATAAGACCAACGCTTCAAATGATGGTGAAAGAAAGAATTTTCATCCCATAATTGGCTTTGGGTAGTAACGATATCAACTTTAGGTGAAAAAGTGGTATTTTGAAACTTTTTAGGTGAAAAATGTCATTAAAGGCAAACCTTGGGTGGGAAAAAGTCATTTACTCTTAATAGAATAATTTATACACGTATAAAATGTAATAAAGCAAGAATCATTATTGTTAAAAAACTCTCAAAAAGTATATATTTACTTTTTATAAATCATAGTGATAAATAAATATACAAATATACTGTTTCTCAAAGGAGATTCCAAGGAGTGGCTGTCTGTCTATCAATTACAAAGTCTTAAAGAGGCTGCCAATTGTTGCAAGAATGCATCCTTATCTCTTACTAAAGCTATATTTATACATATAAAATATCAAATGTATGCAAATAATATCAAAATCTCTTTCATGAAAATCTTTTTCAATGAGCAGTTTCTAATAAGTTAATCTACATCATCTATCAAGCAATTAATAGACCTTTTTAATTGTGTTATTCATAATGTAGTTGCAAAAGTTTTATGAAAAACCCTATTGAAAATATCAAATATCAAATATCCTATTACAAAATTACAATAAACTTCTGATATGAGTATTTTTAATCTTTCTTTTACGAGAAATTTAAAAGAATATTGACGAAAATGTTGATATTGAAATCCAGACTTAATTAGGGTTTAGATCTTGAAATTATTGGCATTCAACATGATCTTCTAGAGAGTTAATTTTGGATGTATATGTGAAAATAGTTTTAGTTTTCTTAAGTTAATAATTTTGACATCCGTTATAGATGCATGCGCAACATTAACCTCCTTCTTTGACGATAATTTAAAAGGATTGATGAAATCCAGACTTAATTAGAGATTTAGATCTTGAAATATAATTATTAATTAATGGACTTCAATGATCTTCTAGAATGCCAAATTTATATTTAATTGGTGATCCCAAAAAAAATATATGCTTTCAAATGTCAATTTCTGATTGAACAGAGGGGAGTTAACGAGAAAAAGAAACTTTTTATGACAACTACTAATAAACAAGAATAAAAATATCATCAACATGACGACTTTCAATCACAAATTCTGCCTCTGACAAAAAATTATTTCAGATTTATTAATTATTGGATGATTAGTCAAATAATATAAAATTTATACATATATTTACAATTTTATTATATGAGCATATAAATGGGATATCTCTTTCTTTTATATATATATTATTATTATATATATATATTCAGGTTATTTTCTAGTCAGAATGTTTTGAACGTAATTTTGTCAGAATTATGCATTTATATTATGGAATTTGAGTTATAAAATTTTATTTCAATCCAAAATGAATCCAATATTAGGTAAACATTATTCGAAATATTATTATCAGAACGTCTTTACTAGAGAATAACTGTGTATATTCTTTGGTCAAAACGTTTTAATATTAATTTTTCAAATACAAATTCTTGATCATCTTTTTCAACACTAAAAGATCAAATCTGAAAAAAAAAAAAAATATGGATGTTTATTTTCTTAAAATGATCTAAATTTTTTGTTTACCATTAGTAATAAACATGATTTGATTTTGAAAAATATGAAGAAAATATAATCGCATCTAGAATGTCGTTGAAAAAACATTTTGATAAAATAAAAAAAGCATGGTGTTGACTTTATAATATGGAAATCGTTGAGTAAAGAAAGGGGCTTTGATGTTTGGTCAATTACATACATAGTTGAAATGCTTTATTGATCTTCGAGAAAATTGGCTTTGATTTGGATCCAGTCCTTTTCCATTTATTAGGAGAGGAACTCGTTTGTATGCAGTAAGAGGTTTAAAACAAGGAAAACGTTTTTCAAAACATTTTTTTAATTCGTCCACTTCAACAGTGGACCACATTTTAATGAGTTATTGATCAAAAGCTATTACTTTTGAAACTTTGATGCATCTCAAAGATTAAAATGCAAATCAATTTGATCCTCATTCAGATGTAAGAGATTTCAAGTGATTTGGATCCAGGGCAGGGGGAAAAGTGAAAAAAATTAAATATATGGGACCCCATGAATTTTATATCAATATTTTTTTGAAAGATTTTTGTAAGGCTTGGTGGGTTTCATGGCTACTAAAGGCTTGATTTTTTATTGATTATTGTTAAATAAATTTTAATATATTTTCAGACTTCAATCTTACTATACAAAACTGATTTATGGTTGATTTGATACGATTTCTTCTTATAGAATTGATAAAAGTAGAATTTATTAAAATAGATCTTTTATGAGAATTAAAATTGATCAATTATTAGGTTAAAAAATATTTAAATAGCTTTCTAGGCTAAAATTACTTGAAAAAACATTTTAATATACAAAAATATAAAATAATATATATAATTTCAATGCTATAAATAAATTCAAAAAGAAATTAGGGAAGAAGCCACAATGTTTTTTCAATTTTATAATCACTTTTGAGATGTAAAGAAATAATTTTTAATGTGTTTATAATTTCTAAATAAGCTCTTTTGATTAATAAATAAACCCAAATAATTAATAGATTCACGTTTTGTTTAAGTTTGTATTTTTGTGTTTTTTCTGTAATACAAAAGGTAATATTACATTGATAAACGAATCTTATAAACTTTTTCTTACAAACTTAACTTGAGAACTGATAGTTAATTTCTGATTTATTAGTTATTATGTTGAGTTTATGAAAAAAAAAAGTTAAAAAATTTGTTTATCAATCTATTATCTTTGTTGTAATACAAATGATAATAATGCATACTTTTTTGTAACCGTGGTTAAATAACTACACTTTACTCTTGTTTACTCTTTAGGCACTATTAATTTAAAGCAGAGTAAGATGATCGTGAGAGAAACAAAATTCTTCTTCTCGGAACCTCTGTTCTTTCTTTTATAAGAAACAATAAATGTGATGTGATTTAAGATAAGGATTTTACGGTATAGAATAGATTAATACAGTTGAGTTGATTGAAAGATTGGATTAATAGGACAAATTATCACCCTCGGACCTTGGTTGTTCTTTCAGGAGTTAAAAAGGTTTTAAAACTTTAGGCGGCGTTTGATGGGAGGTTACGTGGATTATTGCGCCCGTTTGGATAGGGCTTAAATTTTTTTAACACGGTTAATAATTGTTTAATTGAACAGATATTTTTGTATAAAAATATTACCAAAAAATAAATTGACAAACAATGTCAAAAAAGGGATAAATTACCAAAAATAATATTACTTGATAGGGGACTGGTATTAAGACATTATCCCAAAAATCATAATTTTTGTCCAATCTTACCCTTAAGCACTAGTTTATGCGGACGAAAATATCATTTGGTTTATTAATAATTACAAAATAACCAATTTGCACAAACAGACATACTTATCCTCAGTTTTTTTATTTTTCGAACGAAACTACCCTGATTTTTATCATTTATTTCAGAAATGCCACAAAGATTGGTGTACCCATATTATCCTCAGATTTTTGCATATTGTGACCAATATGCCCTTGAACTTCAATGAAACTACAAGATAAAAGAATTTTTTTTTCCCAAATCTCACAATAGGCATGATTTCATTCTCAGTTCTCTACGCTAAAACTCGTTCACCGTCGGTGGAGAAAAATATCTCGACGATCTCGTTCGTCAGCCGATCTCTATTTTCGGTAAGTGGTTTGCCCTCTTTTCTTTGAATTTTTCGTTATTTGTTTCCATTGCAACCCTAACTTCAATGAAACTATAGGATAAAAGAAAAAAAAATTTCCCAAATCGCACAATAGCCATGATTTCGTTCTCAGTTCTCTGCACTAAAACTCGTTCGCCGCTGGTGGAGAAAAATATCTTGGCGATCTTGTTCGTCAGCCGATCACTATTTTCGGTAAGTGGTTTGCCCTCTTTTCTTTGAATGTTGCGTTATTTGTTTCCATTGCAACCCTAAACCCTAACTTGTCCATTTTCCGTCTGTCGTTGGTCCACCATCTCTGCCATTTGCTTCTTTGTTTTGGCACTGTCTAGTAATAGGAACCCATTGGAATTGATCAGTTATTTTTAAGAATTAATCGGTTAATATCTCAATGGTGAGGCAGAGTTCAATATGACTTAATCATTTGCTGAGCTCCTTATTGTCTTATCATCAGTTGTTTGATTTATTTTTTTCTTGAATCTGTACTTGGTTCGATAACATAAGTGCCTCGCTACCTTGCTGATTTTCTTTTGAATTTTTTAACAACAAGTTGGCCGCTCTCTACCTGTTATCTACATGTTTAAAGTTACTCTATCACCTTGCCATTAAATTACAGCCCTCAACTTCCAATTTATTCTCCAATTATGTATTTGATTGATGCACTTGCACATTAAATGTTTAAAATGCTCAACTTTGATAGAGTCAAGGAAATTTAGAGTAAAAGCAGCAAAATTGATGATGAAAAGTATAGTGCTGTTGTGTTGTTGTTGTCTCATGAAAATAGATGGGAATGTTGTGTCACTTTTTGTGATGGCAGTTTGATTTGATTATTCATTGTCATAAGAAAAATTATGAATTAATCTCCTCTACCCTGTTGGTATAGCATTACTTGCTCATTTTGGCATATGACTCCAAATATGTTTTCATTTAGGAAGGCACATAATTACCTATATTTCTGGTAAAGATTCTTGGTGAGGGCAGTTTTGAATTACTCTATCACCTTGCCATTAAATTACAACCCTCAACTTCCAATTTATTCTCCAATTATTTATTGATTTATGCACATGCATGGTAAATGTTTAAAATGCTTAACTTTGATAGAGTCAAGGAAATTTAGAGTAAAAGCTGAAAAATTGATGATGAAAAGTATATTGCTGCTGTGTTGTTGTTGTCTTATGAAAACAGATGGGAATGTTGTGTCACTTTTTGTTTTACATTTTGAGGGAATCTGAGTGGATGGCAGTTTGATTTGATTATTCCTTGTCATAAGAAAAATTATGAATTAAGCTCCTTTACCCTTTTGGTATAGCATTACTTGCTCATTTTGGCATATAACTCCAAATATGTTTTCATTTAGCAAGACACATAATTACCTATATTTGTGGTAAAGATTCTTGGCGGGGGAAGTTTTGAAAAAGAAAGCTAAGATTATACTTGTGATTGGTTTTTATTCTCCACAGATGATGCATGATTTGTTTATTTTCTCTTCAATTATAATATGTGGGTTATTGTTGTTGATTTTATTCTCCACAGATGACGCATGATTGGTTTACACAAGCTGAATTTACAGCCTTCCGTGACAAACTGTTGTGTGAAGTTCAGTAGCATAGGCTGCATTTTATTCATTTATGCATAATTATTGTGTAATTAGTTGTTGCGGATGTCAAATTGAGTTCACTTAAAAAATGGTGGTGATTATGTTCACTGTTGCAATGTGCGAAATTATGTATTATTATTGGTTCACGGGTTTAAAGAGCATCGTTATTCAGCTTCTAGTTAATTTATTGGAACATTTCTTGGATTCAGCATAATGTAAATGCACAGGTATTCCAAAATATGTGATATGACAAATGTACCAATAATTCTCACACTTTTCACATATAGTTTCGGCCCAAGATAAGTGGAAAAAGTTAACAAATTTCCTCAAATTTAGAAACTTGTTTCTAAATTCAACCATGGTGTAAACAAAAAAAATACAAATTTTCTTTTGCCTTGAAAAAATAAAATGGCTTCAATTGAACTAAAGTAAAAATGAACATGTACGAACTATAATTTCTGGTAATACAAAAATCAAAGTTTTAGATAGAGTTTTAAATTCGGAGATGCCAACTGTATTTATTGCAATACTAGGGTCAGGTGTTGAATGTATACCCAACAGAAAATACAATAGGTTTTTTTCGGAGTTTCAATAGTCTGTGTAAATTTTTCAATAAATAACTTAACAATATACTTGGCTAAAATACAAGAAAAAGAATTTTGTTAATTGATAATTTCTTTTATTAACCAAACACGTTAATTATTTACACCAAGTAATCATCTAAAGGGCATTTTAGTAAAATGTAATCAAGACATCTGCTGTTACAGCCAACCAAACAGATTAATTAGTAATACAAGTAATCATTCCAAGGGCATTCTAGTAAAAGGGTATTTAAGGACATCTGTTATTATTGTTAACCAAGCACATTAATTATTAATACATCTCAATTGAACGAAGCATAATAATAATTTAAATCCGGGAATCTACAATGTAATATTTCTTTCCGGTAATCTTATTACTAAGATAAAAAAATTTTATATGATTCAAACGCCCCCGTTAAATTATCTTATATTACTTTATTATTATATGTGGTTGTCAAGTAAAATAAGATTTCGGTAATCTTTAAATACTAATAGTAGTTACTATTTATACTATTGGAGGTAATCTGATTACCTCTATTTTCTTAGGTATTGTAAGATTACTTGGATAATTTTTTTTGGTTACAATTCTATCTCTTATTAATAAAATTTTAGGACAATAATGCCCTTATTTTTAAATTTATTTACACGAATCTTGCTTTTACTATTTCACCCAAATTAATTAACTTTTGGGACAAAATTACCCCTAAAATCAAAACAAATTTCAGCTTATCCAAGCCACCACCCCCACCCACCTGTTGTCACCTGCCGCCAGCCAAACCACCGTTAGTCATCGTGGGAAGTCGTCGGAAGTCACCTAGAGTCACCGTGAGCAGCCCACCGTGACCGAGAGGCCCCGATATGGCCTTTTCGGCCATCAATATGGCCAAAAAGGACCATATTGAGGCCTCCTGGTCACGGTGGGCTGCTCATGGCGACTTTCGTTGGTGGTTTGCGGTGGCGGCAGGTGGTGGCAGGGTGGTGGGGGTGAGTTTGCTATAAATTAAAGTTTTATATAAGCGGGGTGTTTTAGCTAAATTTGAAATATTAGGGGTTAAAAAAATTATTTAAAAATTAATAATAAAAATAATATTATATTAATATTTAAAAAGAGGGCAATTTAGTAATTTAAATAACATACCAACCAAATTTATTTCTCCTAACCAAACATATTAATATAAAATACCTACCAATTTATTCCAACTAACCAAACATATTTTCTTAAAGATTCTCAGTAATCTTCAAGGTAATATAAGATTCTAATAATCCAACATTCCCAGAACCAAACGCACCCTAAGGTTAGCCTGGTGGTTAAGAAGACTTGCTCATTTTATTAATTTTTTGGGTTCAAACTACTTTGAGGTTACCTATCACATTTATGCTTACCTGAAATATTAAATTTGTAAAGTGTTCACTGGGCTTTGAAGATTAGTTAAGGTACGTACAAGCTAACTCAGATGACTCTGTTATGTAAAAAAATGGTATTAAATTAAATATGATGTGATTTAAGATATCTACTTAATCCCAATAATTCAAGTGATATCCAACATATCTAAACTTGTTATGTCTAAGAAGAATGAGAATAAGTTAGAGGATTAAATAATAGTTGATGAATTGATAAATAAGGTAAATATAGCTTAAAGAAGGAGTTTACTAATGAAATGAAAATATATAGAAGGATGAATTGATAAACAAGGTTTGATTGACTAATAGTTCTTTAATAAACAGAAAGATGTTTGATTGTTAACTAGGAGAGATGAAGATGTGGGTAAAAAAATCACTTCGGCCTCATTTGGATTGAGGGATTTTAAATAAATGATTTCGTTAAATCCATGGATTTTGTAAAATCCTTTGTTTGTTTTTAGAAAAAAAAAAAAAAGTTGAAATCCACGGATTTTGGAAAATCCACCACCCTGCAGAATCCTTCATTTTTAAGGGTTTTAATATCCCACCTACCAGGTGGGATTTTGCCAGATCCATCAGTTTTAATAAAATGAGAGATTTTGTTAATATTTTAATTTTTCAAAATTATTATTGTTAATAATTTAATATCCCAATAATTACCTTTTACCCTAATTAAAAGAAATATATTTGTCGTTCTTTTTTTTTGAATTCTTCACCTTTATATCACCAACATCTTTAGAGTACACTAAAGAAATAATCTACCTATGAGTTTTCATTTTTTTGATTAATTATTTTCAATTTCTTATTTGCAAAAAGTTTTTTTATTATTTCAATTTCTTATAGTGATTCTTTTTGTTATTTGGTTGAAAACTTATTAGTGGTGACTTTTTATTATTCATGAAATATAAAATCAACGAAGCCATTGCAAGTAACCCTCGGGCTTGTCATATATATAAGTTCTTTTACAAAGCAATGAGTCTCACAATATATAGATTGGGGGCAAACTCTGGTTCTATGTTACAATTTTGCCTATGAGCTTTCTTGTGCTATATATTGACACTAATTTTCTATATAGATATTGTTATGTTATATATTTTAATATGAAATTACTCAACTATTAAAGTTACCATGAATAAAGATAGTTGATAATATATTATAGTAACTTGGAATTCTTTTTTTTTTTTTTTTTTTTTTTAAACCAAATCACAAAAAATCATTTATTATAATTAGATTTTTCTATCAAACATAATTTAACTTGTACTTATTTAGATGAAAGTTGAATTTTTGTTTGTTTTGCATATTGAGGGTAAAGTTGGAAATTATTTATCAAATCCATAGATTGTATTCATCTAACCAAACATGAGTGCATGAAAATTTGAATCAACAATCCATGGATTTTATATTTAAACCAAATAATGGAATTTATCAAATACGTGGATTTTGAATCCATGAATTGTACAAAATCCATAGATTTTAAAATCTCTCAATCCGAACAGGCATAACATTCACTTCTTTTAATTCAATTCAGTTGTTGGCCCAATTTTCTAGTGGGTTAAATGTTTATAAATTAAAATATGGACAAATATAACAAATTACAAAACTTTCACGTATCAAATAGTTTAACTATTGAATAATATTCTATATGTATGTGATGTTGAAATGTAAGTAATTAATGTAATATTATATAATATAACATTAAATTATTGTAATGAAAATTTTAGAATATCACTAAAAGTATTTAATATTACTCATAATTACATGAAATCTGTATAATTATTTGCTATACATTCCAATAAGATCATGTTTTAAAATATGTCACAGTGCTTAATATATAAAAATAATCCAAAAAATTTTCTGGGTTATTTCTATGGAATAAAAAACAAATGGCCTGTTTGTTATACTTTTTAAAAATGTTATTCTGAAAAAGCGTTTTAAGTTGAGTTGAGTTGAATTAAATCGAATTAGATTTGAATATGAAAATGTGTTTGGTAAAATATTTGAAAATTATATCAGAATTAGATAAAATATTGCATAGTTGTTTGATACATTTTTTTAAAAAGGTTTTTAAGACAGAATAGTTGTTTGGTACATTTTGTGAAAATATTTATACTATTTTTAACCCCCTATATTTATTACTTTAGCTAAACACCCCACAATAAAAGTTTAAAAATTAACTAAAGTACCCCAGTAATGTAAGAGGACAGCCAACCATCGGCCACCACCATCGTACGACAGCTGGCAGTTGTTAGAACGATACACGATCGATTGAATTTGATCGATCGTGTGTCGATATAGTCGTTTTTTGCCAGATCTACGGCCAAAATATGGCTGTTGACGCTTTGATCGTCGTTAATGGCCAGATCTCGGCTAGAATCTGGCCATCAACAACTAGATGTCTGGCCATCAACAGTTAGATGTCTGGCCATAGATCTGGTTGTTTCTGGCAAGATTGGTGCACGACTAGCCAGATTCGGCTGGTTGTGTGCTGTTTCGGCCACCTCGGTCGGTGGTGGTTGGCAGTGGTTGTTGGCAGGTGGTGGTGGTTGGCAGTGGTTGTTGGCAGGTGGTGATGGTCTTGGGTGGATTAATTTTCAGATTTGAAGGAGACAAAAATGAGGAGGAGAGAAAGAAAAAATGTTTTTAGTTAAATAGAGTTAGATAATCTGAAAACAGGTCTCAACCTCTTTTCATTTTTAAACAAAAAATCTTATTTGAGTTGGATTAATTTTCAGATTGGATTAACCCTATAAGTAAACAAACATATATTCTGTATTTTAATTCAAATAAGATAATAGAATTATGATTTAGAATACTGTAACAAATAGGGGCAAAAGATTTCCCTTGATCAACCTTCTAACATCATGATGGTGATGCAAACTTGTGGCATAGTTAATATAAAGAAGTCTAGAGTTATGGAGAATTCTTCCATCAGTTTTAATATAAAGAAGGCATTTTCTAAGATCTTTTACATATTCATTGTTCAAATTGTTGCATGATAAAACAAAGTTTATACCTTCAGGCTTCGGTGTCTGGAAGACAACAATCTCATACATGAAAAAAACAACCGAAAAAGAAGCAACTTTAATGTATGTTTACAATAACTGTGTCTGTTATTAACGTTGAAAGAACTTGATGCTATTCATCGTCATCTTCATCATCTTCTCGCCCTTTGTGGCATTCCTGTTGACACCGGAGGCAAGTTCAGCTTCGATGGACTTGGAATGTATCTTCTCA